TACACCTTTATTTTAAGTTAATTAACCACTAAATTAACCGTTCGCGAGCATAGAAGTGACTTCTTTTTATTAAAGGCGACACGACCCTGCGCTATCCTCTGCTTTATATCCCTACTACTCCTTTCGTCCTGACTTATCTGACTTCCTAGGTATCTAAAATCAGCCACTTCTTCTATTTTTTCGTCTCCTATCTTTATATTCGCTATATTATTATATTGTTATGTATGTATTTATTACTCAAGTGATACTAATAATGCTGTGCCACGAATTCTTATGATTAATTTGTATTAACTAGAAAAGAACAAGTAAACTTGTGATGACTGATGATAACTTTCTTTTTTTATTTTGGAGACATTTTTTTCTTAAGTAACCGATAAACAATACTAAATAACTAGAAAAGAGGTTGTTTTCGTTAAATGTTCGTATATATAGTTTAATATTCGTGGTAAAAGGTAAGTTAAGTTGAAGATGTATGTAAATACTTACTATATTTCCTTAAAGTTTACAACTTTTTTTTTTTGTCTGATAGAAAATAAATTAAATGATTTACATTATTTTAGGGTTTCGTACCTGCAAAGGATAAACAGAACCATTATACTTTACTCCTATAACACCACCACCCAAAACTAATAAATACGAAAGCACGATATACATTTGGTGCCCTCAATAAATTACTAACTAAAAATTTAAAGTTCTTTATTATTATTCCTAAATAGTAGTATTAACAATCAAAATAAAACCGGTAAATAATAAAGCTAATTATTTGTTAAAATGAAATAACTAGATATCTCAGAAAAGGAGGATAAGGTATCTTGAAATTTTATTATATAAAAAAATAAATAAAATAATACAATAAGTGTATGCATAATTGAAAAACGTTTTGTAAACAATTTATTGGGCAAATATATTACATGTTTTAATAAGATATGTGTCACGTAGGTTCATTGGTACCTTTACATTTTGAATTATCCGTTATACTTTGCACTATCAGATTTAAACAGTCCAGACTAGAAGTAGTAGAAGAGAGCTCGAAACCTGCAACGAAAAGAAAAGTTTTAGAACTACTGATTTTCTTTCATTACAGGTAAGCCAGAGGATTACCTTCGAAGGTTTATATAAAGTAAAATAATCAGTTGTAAGGGTCTTAAATAGGTCTGTGACGTTTAATGCAAGCCCCCAGCCAAAGGGGGGATGGTCCCCCAGTATTTTTCTCAGTTGGCTTTTTCAACTTGTGTTAATTATTAGGGGAAATATGTTAAAAATAGACTTCTTTCATAATTTCGTGTCAAAACGCATGTATATAAAACTGCTTGAAAACTCGAAGATCATTCGTGTATACGGATTGTAGTAAAATTCCAAAAGGACATAGGGACCATAAAAGTAATATCGGTTCTTAGTTCGGTGTACACGGAACTCTCGCAGGGTAGCAGAAATTACCATTACGGTATGATCAAGAAATCGGACTTCTGGTCAATATTTCGATTTGTTCTGGTATGCAAAAATACTACAGTACCCCCCCCTCAGGAGGTGTCTTTTGATGATTTCCTACTTTATAAATTCCTCCCATTTCCCTCTATCATAAATGTATATATTTTTAGCGTATGTGTGTAAAGCATTAGTTGGAAAACTAAAGTGCAACAGTTGGTTAATCGATTGCNTTTTTTCTTAAGTAACCGATAAACAATACTAAATAACTAGAAAAGAGGTTGTTTTCGTTAAATGTTCGTATATATAGTTTAATATTCGTGGTAAAAGGTAAGTTAAGTTGAAGATGTATGTAAATACTTACTATATTTCCTTAAAGTTTACAACTTTTTTTTTTTGTCTGATAGAAAATAAATTAAATGATTTACATTATTTTAGGGTTTCGTACCTGCAAAGGATAAACAGAACCATTATACTTTACTCCTATAACACCACCACCCAAAACTAATAAATACGAAAGCACGATATACATTTGGTGCCCTCAATAAATTACTAACTAAAAATTTAAAGTTCTTTATTATTATTCCTAAATAGTAGTATTAACAATCAAAATAAAACCGGTAAATAATAAAGCTAATTATTTGTTAAAATGAAATAACTAGATATCTCAGAAAAGGAGGATAAGGTATCTTGAAATTTTATTATATAAAAAAATAAATAAAATAATACAATAAGTGTATGCATAATTGAAAAACGTTTTGTAAACAATTTATTGGGCAAATATATTACATGTTTTAATAAGATATGTGTCACGTAGGTTCATTGGTACCTTTACATTTTGAATTATCCGTTATACTTTGCACTATCAGATTTAAACAGTCCAGACTAGAAGTAGTAGAAGAGAGCTCGAAACCTGCAACGAAAAGAAAAGTTTTAGAACTACTGATTTTCTTTCATTACAGGTAAGCCAGAGGATTACCTTCGAAGGTTTATATAAAGTAAAATAATCAGTTGTAAGGGTCTTAAATAGGTCTGTGACGTTTAATGCAAGCCCCCAGCCAAAGGGGGGATGGTCCCCCAGTATTTTTCTCAGTTGGCTTTTTCAACTTGTGTTAATTATTAGGGGAAATATGTTAAAAATAGACTTCTTTCATAATTTCGTGTCAAAACGCATGTATATAAAACTGCTTGAAAACTCGAAGATCATTCGTGTATACGGATTGTAGTAAAATTCCAAAAGGACATAGGGACCATAAAAGTAATATCGGTTCTTAGTTCGGTGTACACGGAACTCTCGCAGGGTAGCAGAAATTACCATTACGGTATGATCAAGAAATCGGACTTCTGGTCAATATTTCGATTTGTTCTGGTATGCAAAAATACTACAGTACCCCCCCCTCAGGAGGTGTCTTTTGATGATTTCCTACTTTATAAATTCCTCCCATTTCCCTCTATCATAAATGTATATATTTTTAGCGTATGTGTGTAAAGCATTAGTTGGAAAACTAAAGTGCAACAGTTGGTTAATCGATTGCACCCCCCCCCCCTCTCCAAAATAGAAATTCTTCGCCAGGGCCCTGATTTAATGTAGAAATCGAATATGTGAACTGCTATACGGTTTGTTTTTAACTTGTTTAGTTTTCAGAATTATCTGTCAGAATATATGAAATGAAAATAAATAAATTGTGTAGTTATGATATTGTGATCTTCAAACTGCAAAATATGCTGGAAACTACGATTCGGGAGTGGGATGTGTATAAATAAATCCAGGGCGCGTGAGTAAAACTAGAGTCGATTTTGTGCAAACAAATTTTGCTCCATTTTCCATATAATTAAAGTTTTGTAATTACAACAAAATGATTAATTTCAATTCAATAAATGTTAATTCAGTTACAAACATGTACAATTAAATGTGCGTTTGGATTCGATGCTTCAAATAGAGGCATCATCACTTTTAGATAAAAAATATGAAATTTTGAAGAGGTTACCTCCAAGTCGTACCTAAATGAAGTGCCATTCTGCGGTATAGTTTTAGCAAATTGCTTACTTTCAAGTTTAGATACGTTTAGAAATTATTAGAAATAAATAAAGCAGAGCAACTCAAGCTGGACAACTATTTTAGTGGTGTTTTCTTGGAAAGATTTTAATATGTTCTACGAAACGGATAAAACCAAATTTTGTAAATTAGAACAGAATGATTAATTTCAATTCATCATCATCATAAGGTCGTCAGTTCTAAGACTGGTTGGACACGTACGTCCACTCTTTCCTATCATGAGCTAATATTCGCATTTCCCTAAAACTAGAACAACTCACATCCTTAACTATTTGCGAACAGTAATCTAACCTAGGTCTACCCCTACCCCTCCTAACTCTTGTTTTTGCCTCTAATATGTCTCTGACTAGACCTTCATGTCTGAAAAGGTGTCCTACCAACCTATATCGCCTATTTTTTAATGACATCCATAGAGTCCTTTGTTCTCCTATTCTTCCTAATACCTCTTCATTTCTAAGCTTTTCTATCCACCTTTTCCTCATCATTCGCCTATAACACCACATTTCGAAAGCTTGTAACCTTTTCTTTTCCGCCGCGCCCACTGTCCATGTTTTGCACACGTACAACGCCGCGCTCAAAACATACACCTTTAATAACCTTTTCGAATTTCCAAATTAACAGTTCGGGAGCATAGAAGTGACTTATTTTTATTAAAGGCGACACGACCCTGCGCTATCCTCTGCTTTATATCCCTACTACTCCTTCCGTCCTGACTTATCTGACTTCCTAGGTATCTAAAATCAGCCACTTCTTCTATTTTTTCGTCTCCTATCTTTATATTCGCTCTTTCCCTACTTTTTCTTCCCTTGCATACTAGTATTTTAGTTTTACTTTTATTTATTTTCATACAGTACTAATCTGTTAGTACCTCTTCCATTTTATTTAAAGCTATCTCCTTGCTAGATGCTAATACTGCTATATCATCTGCAAATCTAAGCATACTAATCTTTTGCCCATGTAAATCTATCCCTACAGTTGTACTGTCTTTAATGATGTTGATCGCGTCTTCGATGTATAGCTTAAAAAGTAGCGGTGACAGTGTACATCCCTGTCTGACTTCCTTCCTAATTTTTACTTCTCTACGTTGCAGCTCTAGCTCTATAACTGCCTGTTGTTCTTTATACAAACTAAGTATCACTCTTCTATCTCTGTAACTCATCCCTACATTTTTAAGTATATTTAACATCTCGTCAATTCAATTCTCTTGTCATTTCAATTCAATAGATCTTAATTTAGTTAGGAACAAACAAGTAAAGTTAAACATGTGCGTTTGGAAAATTCTCACATAACTTATTTCATTTATTTACAGAATTCAGGATGCATTTCAAGTGTTATAAAGAACTGCAAAGATTCATCAAATAGAGGCATCATCACTTTTAGATAAAAAAATATGAAATATTGAAATGGTTACCATCAAGTCGTACTTAAATGCTGTATTGTTTTAGCAAATTGCTTACTTTCCAACTTAGATACGTTTAAATAAACTCTCAGAAATAAATAAACGCAGAACTACTCTGGTTGGATAACTTTTTGAGTGACGTTTTTTGGGAAGGAATTTAATATGTTCTACGAAACGGATTAAACCAAATTTATCATTTTGATTCAAGTTTAGCTATAATGTAAACATATGTTTATTTACACTTTACTGGAAACTGGCAGTCACAGCTAATTTCCACTAAAATTAATAGTACAAATCGGGTCTGTGAGTTATTTTTTTTAACTAAGTACCCAAGGAGTGTATAGCAAACTACTGTATTTATGCGCAGCTCCGAAAACATACGGTGTCTGCATTTCTGATTTATGTTGACGATTAAAATAACGATCTCGACAAAAATAAATCCCAGTCTTAATAAACCGCTTCTCAGGTGTTCCCCCGTCTAGGTACAAACTAAAATGATTTGTTAAAGTCGAATAACTTGGGCGGTTTTCAACTCTGGAGGTTTATTTATGGTGTCACTTTAGTAAAGGGAATTCCTCGCTTCATATTATTAATCTATTTTCTTAAAATTGCGTGATATGTACACAGTCATTTAAGAAATATGACTAAAAGAATGATAGGTATGATCTAGAAACGAATCATTGAAATCTCACTACTGTATGAAAATAAATAAAAGTAAAACAAAAATACTGGTATGTAAGGGAAGAAAAAGTAAAAAAAAAAAAGAGCGAATATAAAGGTAGGAGATGAAAAATTAGAAGAAGTGGCCGATTTTAGGTATCTAGGAAGTCAAATAAGTCAGGACGGAAGGAAGTAAGGATATAAAGCAGAAGATAGAGCAGGGTTGAGTCGCCTTCAATAAAAAGAAGTCACATCTATGCTCCCGAACGGTTAATTTAGAAATTCGAAAAAGGTTGTAAAAGGTGTATGTTTGGAGCACGGCGCTGTACCGGTGGGGAACATGGACAGTGGGCACGTCAGAAAGGTTAGAAAAGCGTTACAGGCGAATGTTGAGGATATCGTGGATAGAGAAGGTTAGAAATGAATAGGTATTAGAAAGAGTAAGAGAACAGAGGACTCTACGGAAGTCAATATGAAATAGGCAGGCATGAAGGTCTAGTCAGAGACATATTAGAGGCAGAAACGGAAATGTCATGAACGAATGCCGCAGGCTGAGATTGATACGGCAGGACTTTTTATAACGATGCCGAGAGGCGACAGTAAATCATTTGTACGTTGATAAGACACACACAAGCTATAAGACAAAAAGAAACTGATCAGAAGTTTCAGGAACACTCCATGACGGTATAATACAGGTATACATATTTAGTGTGAATGAGAAGTCCAAACTGTGAGATAAATTTGTAAGTAATATAAAGATTAGCCATTGTTAAAATAAATAACTGTATACATATAGTGTGCTATTCTGTAAAATAAATTAATTATATTCTTATATATAAGACCTGTTTAAACAAATTCAATTACACTTACCATATATGCCAAAAAATATATTCTGTTACCTAATATTTTTCTAATAATATTCATTTATATGCAGAAAACTCTGAACTTTTTTCGGTAAATACCTATTCTTGTATTTGCAAAATATGGCCAACATTTTTTACTAAATTTAGTCATTAATTTATGCCTAGTTGTTTTTCAATTTATGTAGAGCTTGATAAAGGTCCCAACCCTGGAGTGAAACGTTGACCATAAATAAATCCAAGAATATTGACCGAAAAAAGTTCAGTTTTCTTCATTTACGTATCTATTCAATTTTTGGTCATTATGGCATAATTCAATATTCACTTATGTTTAAGTATTTATAAAATTTTATAGATATATTTATTTTACATTTACGGTAATTGATTGATTGAAAGATCAAGTGATTTATTTTGTTTTGTTTTTTGTTTGTTTTATATGAACATTTTTTTAAGTAATTAGGAATGGGCAACATTAATTCTTTAAACAATTATTAGTAAGGTAGTAGTTTAAGTTTATTTGTAGAGATTGTTACTACTTTTAAAACAGAAAAACTACAAAATGGTAATTCACAAAAATGTAAAATGGCGGAGGCGCAGCACACATTTCTGTACCATATAAAGTGTTTTTAATCGTCCCAAGTAGTTGGCCAAAAGTTCTGAAAACCGCTTATGCTCGATTTGCTTCAAATTCTTTTACAAATGCCATAATATCCAAAATGAATACCTACACCTAAAACGGAAGAATGGCTATTGGGCAAAAACAAAGGTTATATCAGTGTTGGTCAGAGGCATTGAGCATTAGCTGTTGTTTAGTCTATACCTAATAGTCGTATGGCAAAAGCACTACTGATGTATTGTCAATTCTTGCTAATGAAATAGAAAAACTTTGAGTACCTAACTTTGATCTACAGTTTAGATTAAATAGTAAATTGCATTGA